GAAAGATTGAAGCTTTAAAAGTAGATTTAGTATCCTCAGGTTAGAGGCCATTATTTTGCAATTGCATGAACCCTCTGGCAGGGTAAGGCATAGGGAGAACACTGGATTGGGGATTTAGCTGCAGAGCCAGGAATCTGGGACAAGAAGTGGATTCTATGGGAGGAGTGCATTTCAAGGGATTCCCAGAAGAGCTGGTGTCAGTACTGCCAAGAATAGTAGGACGTCAAGGAAAGACCCTTTGGTAACTGGAAGAAACAATAAAGGAAGGCTGGTGGGAGAAAGCGCAGGCTATGGTCAGGGTTTTTATTCCTCTCCTTTGCCTTCTCTTTAAAAAAGATACGTAGAGATGTTGCAGGTCGGGGGTAGGGGTGGCAAGATGAGACTATTAAAATCCAACATTCGTGTTAAGTGGGAAGCTTTGAGGAGGCCGAGGAGTAATCTAAGATACAGGCTTTAGTATATTCACAGAGTTGTACAACCATCACTACAACTTGATCTTAGAATATTTCTCTCCCCCAAAGGAAACCCCATACCCATTAGCTGTCGCCCCACTTCCCCAGCCCACCGCACTTCCCCCCTAGCCCTAGACAAACACGAATCCACTCTGACCCCATGAATTAGCCTACTCTAGACATTTTATATGAATAGAATCATCCAATATGTGGCCTTTTGTATCTGGCTTCTTTCACTTAGCACAATGTTTTCAAGGGTCATCCACGTTGTGGTTCTTTGGATGCTAAAGAATATCCCACTGTACGGATATGCACATTTATCCATCCATGAGTTGATGAATATTGGTATTTGTTCCATTTTTTGGCTATAATTCTATTATGAATATTTGTAAGTTGTAGTACTAAAAATAAAGGAGGAATCTTAATACAAGGAGACTACAGGTAGGTCACTTTGACGGTCTGAATAGGAAATAAGGGTGTTAAGCCAGGTAACAATAGTGTGGATAGTGAAGGAGATACACTTGGGAGGTGCCATCATCAGGTGCTGCTGACTAACTGAACATGGTGAGTAAGTGAAACGGAGGGTCAAGGTTGTCCTGAGGTCCCTGGCCTGGGCACTGGGTGATATTATCCACTGAGACCAGAAACACAGGAGGAGATGAGTCTCACTCAGGCAAATGGAACTGAAAAGGCCTGTGGGGTCTTGAGGGAGGCATGTGAAACCTGAAAGAGAGGCCAGAAGAAAGGTACAAACTGAAAGGTACACGGAGTTCGGGTGGTAGCTGGAAGAGAATGCCCAGGAAAGCATGAAGTCAGGACACCAACAGTCAAGGCACAGAAAAAGGAACAGGGCGTCACAACATAGACTGGAAAAGACAAGTCGGAGGGGACAGGAACCATTTCCAACAGGGAAGAGCAGCCAAGGAGTGAGAAGGTTGTAAGGAGGAAATGACGCCCGGTAAAACTCTGCCCAGCAGCCAAGGAGGTGTAGGCAGAGTGTTCACCACATTCAGCAAGTATGAAGTCACTCATGAACAGGTGAAGAAATTACTCAGAGATCAGTAACGTGCGTGATCTGGCCTACTTTCGGGGGGGACACGAAGACGGAGGAGGCAGAGCCCACAGACGGCTTCGGCCTGTGGAGGACTTGGTATCCACTCATCAGGCCTGAAATGCAAACAAGCCCCAGGCACGGTCATTGCCCTTGAATAATTTCCTTCCTGTGGGCAACAAAAAGCCATTAAGTTCCCCAATTTATAACACTGGCCCTGGTGTTTTCCTTACGACCATTCCTGATGCAATTACAGTTTTCTTTCTTTTGTTTTTAATCTTCGCCGGAGGCTATTTTTTCCATTGGTTTTTTAGAGAGAGTGGGAGGGAGAGAGAGACACATCAACTGGTTGCCTCCCACACACGCCCCGGGGATCAAACCTGCAACCCAGGTACGTTCCCTTGGCCCTTCGTGCAGGCTGAAGCTCTAACCCCTGAGCCACACTGGCCAGGGAGCTTAGGCTAACTCTTGGTAGGGAACCTGAAGGTTGCTAAAGGCTAGCCCAAGACATGTGAGGCTCAGAAGTCCAGAAGGTAATTCCAAGTGGGAAAGATGTCCAACCTCAGGACTCCAGGGAGCATGCTGTCATCGTGGGCTTCCCGGAGCAGAGAAAGGCACACCAAGGTGCTGGGCTCATAGAGTCATGAGGCCAGAAAACACCACGGGCTTTTTATTTGGAGATGTTTATCCATCTGCAATTTACTAGGGAACACGGCAAAATGACACACACTCCTGGCCTTTCCTACCAACCGTGAAGTCACTGCATCTTCCCGGCCTCAGCTGCCTCAGCCACTAAGGGAGGAGGTGAACCAAGACCAGTCCTGAGTCCTGCCCAGCTGGTAAAAAAAGACCATGTCTGTGAAAAAGACTTGAATATGCCTGGTAATCCAGTCCTACTTAATATGCCACGTTAACCACTTATTCCTAACATTGTAAATTGCACAATTGCTGGTTTGACGCAGAAATAATTCAAAGCATTGCTTGTTAGGTCTGTGATAATGGTATCATGTCACCGTAGAGACGATAAAATTTGAGCACAAAACAAAGCTATGTCTTTAATACAGTCCTCAAGCAAAGAAAAGAGACTGCGTGAAACTACTCCTGCCCTCTTCCCCTCACACCGCTAGACCAATTTAAGGGGAAAGAGGCTGGACCAAGAATAGCTCATGCAGGAGGGAGCTGGGGCTCGAGATGCATTTAGACCGCTGTGGTCCGAGTGGTCCAGAGGGAAGCCCAGTGGGCTCGGAGATTTGGATTCTAGACAGAACCCTTCCGGTAACCATGGAACTCTGGGCAGGATATTTAGCTTTTCCTAACTCTGTCTTCTATTTGCAAAACAGGAAAAATTCTACGTGTTTCTTCTACCTCAAAAATGTGCAAAGTACTGTATGGGAATACGTGTGTGAAAAATCTGAGTTCTGGGGTGGAGAGGTTTACAGGGAGCAATGGAGCATGTCAGTGACAAAGAGCACTGATCCAACTAAAAAGTCACTGCCGTGATTAGGTCAGGGCGAGACGGAGTGGCTCAGCCACAGCTGAGGAGGGGCTCCTTGGCAAGGAAAAGCGAGCGACTGTGACCCAGACAGGGATGCACAAGTGCGCACAGCCTCAGTCTCCCCCTGAACTTGGCCACACCAGCAGGAAAGGCACTGACCTGGTTCACAGGCCCCTGGCTTGTGAGCAAATATATTTTCTCCCTTCCTTCTCTCCCTCCCTTCCTCTGCCCCTTCCTTCCATACAGCTAGAATTTTGCATTGAGGGCTTGTATAGACACAACCCTCGATTTGCTTCCAAATCTAGTTATTTAAACAAGATAACTAGACTGAAGTTTCATAGTCATAAATGGGATATGGGAGCATTGACTCTCCAGGTGTCCAGGTATCTGCTCGCAGCTTTGCCGCGGACTCCTAGGGCTGTCCCCACGGGGAACAGAAGGCAGAGGCACCGCCAATCAGAGGGCCAATCCTGCCTCTGCCAGTTCTCTCTCTCATAGATTTCTCCTCCCTCAGGCCTCCTCTGCTTCCCCCATTGGCAAGGAAGGAGGGAGAGGCATATACTGAGTGCCGATCTGAGCGAATATTTTTCATTTTCTATCTCATTAAGCCAAGATATTTATTTCTTAGGAAAATAATCCTGCAACAGTGGACAGCAGATGGACAAGTAGAGGCTGAAGGACCAGCCTGGAGGATGCTGGCAAGGGCAAGATGGAAGAGGGGCCAAACTAAGACAAACTATTCTAGCTGTTTCTATGCAGGAAAGAATTTTTATTCTTAAATTTGTATTAGAGATACTCTTTTGAAATAAAAGGTAGGTTTTATCTGTATATGATTAAGGTAAAAATATTAAAAACCATCAAATACAGGACCCTATGAGCCCAAACTAGCTATTCCCACCCCACCTCCACCTCCACACGAAATTCAGAGGCTGAATTACACGTATATCTATAACAGCGGTGATAATTATAGCTTCAATTTTCTAAGTGTGTCTCTGTTCCAAGCATTGTACTAGGTGCTGTACAAACCTCCGAGGCCCTGGCAGCAAGGGAGGGACTATTACACCCAAAGGAACTAAGATTCGGGAAAGTTAATTCACACACCCGGGGTCATACATGCAACTGGGCACAGAGGCCGGACCTGAACACTGGTCGGTCGGCCCGCAAGTCTGGACGTATTGGGCTCTGCCACGCTGTCCCCACGTCTCTCTCTCTGAGTTTCTGCTCGCTTTTACTGGCACTCCTTTTTACTTCTAGAAATGCCGACTGAGGGCGGAAGGCAGCAACAGGACGGGCAGAGAGGGGCACCAAAGGCACGTGAGAGGGTGGGAGAGAGAGCCACCCCACTTCCCATGCAAGGGTCCTGGCTTCTGGAGAGAAGAGCTGCCAAGGCTGCTGCGTTTAGTAAACTCATTGACTCCAGGCCCTTCCCTGCTGCCCTGAGAGAGACAATCAGAGGAAGGAAGAGAGGGTGGGGCTGCTGCCTCTAAGGGACCCTATGACTAGGAGGGAAAGGAGGACCTGGATGCCCACGGCCACGGAGGGGAGAGCCAATAGACCGCTCTCACCCCCGCCCACTGGCCCCGCATCCCCTGATCCCTGGGCTCTTGCCCTGTCCCCTCCCCCTTATTCTGCTGACCACAGCCCAAGCACAGAGCAGAAGGGGAGGGACCCATCTGGATAACATTAGCCACTTGCATTATGCTATTTTCATCTAGTTTTATTCTCTGATCCACTTTTTATTGGTTAGAAGCGAAACAAAAATGGATCGTATATTTAAAAGCAGAGGGAAGCAAAGACATACCATTCTAGAACCATCTAGCAAGCAAATCCCTCAAGAGTATTTACCCAAGCAGTTACCCTGGGATATTTGAGGAGAAAGGGGAAAGCAATTTTCTAGGCTATCATCACTTTACTATGACGTGTAGGCCCCAGATGCGACCACAGACTCGCTGCTTTAACCTGGGGAAGCACCTGGAACGCAGGGTGCCCGCGGGGCTCTCACCTGGCATGACCATGGTGGGCGGGGCCACCGCGTCCGCACTCAGGCACAGCCGGCCACCTTTGGCCAAGCGGTCGCAGAGCAGGGTGATGTGCTTCTTCAGGCGGCTGGTGTCCTTGGGTTTGCTCAGCTGGCTGCTGAGGTTCAAGGCCTGCTCCTTCGAACTCTTCGACAGGCAGGTCTTCAGGAGGTGGGATACAGCAGCGTCCACTGTCTCTTCCCAGCCCTGGGGGTAAAAGGCACTTTTGAATATACTCGGAGACGATAAATGAGCAAAGTAGGCCCCTGACTGTGAACTAGGGCATAAGATGATTGGTGTCTGGACTATTGAATTCGAGCTCTGCATGCTGTTTGACCTTGAGCAAGAGCAAGTTACTGAATTCCTCTTGGCCGCACCCTAATCTACAGATGAGGATACTAATAGCCTGTGCCTCCGAGGGAGGGGTGATTAAGTGAGATGGTACATGCGACACGTCACCCTGTGCGGGACATAAGGAATAATCATCATCATCATCTCAGGTGCAGGCATCTGATGATTTGGAGGGTGAGGCTGCCAGGATCACAGTTCACTTTGCCTGTCTTTCTGCCAAAGGGTCAGGAACCAGTCAGGGCAGCGGTGGCCTCTGGGTATCTTGGGGGAAACTGGAATGAAATTAACCCTGGTGTCTCTCTCAGCTCTCGGTCCCACAGCCTTGGGGTCACAGGCAGAACCCAGAGGAGCTTATTTCAAGACGGCTTTTTTGAGACTCAAGCCTATTCAGTCCCACTTCGCTGACCAGGTGACAAAAAGTGACATAAAGAAAGGAAGTGTCCACTGACCCCACTTTCACTGGGAACAGTGTGGCATGAGCTCCCATTGGGCACCGCTGGGGGTCCCAGGGACAGCTAGGGAAGATTGTATGGGGCTCTGGATGTATCCAAACAGCACAATAGGGAGGCGAGGGTGCAATCTGAGTATTATTGCCAATGTGACTAATTTGTACCCAGAGACTGGTAAGACCCCAAGCACCGTGGGCCTGACAACCAGAGTGAAATTATGAAGGGAGACAGTGGGTGAATTTATTCTCATAGATAATGCAGAGTTGTCCAAGCCCCTTCTACAAGAAGTGAGAGCTTGAGACTTGGAAAGGAGCACTGGGAGGCGTCACTGTTAGCGCTACTCCACCCTCAACCTCATCAGCTATGCCACCATCCACTCTGAAAATTGGATTAGGTTACTCCTGAACTTCAATTCCTAAACCCAAATGCTCAGTTTAGCATATAAAGCACTCTGCTCCAGCTCCTGTCCCATCTTATTTGCAGCCTGTCCACCTGTGCCCACACTGACCCAGGCCTCTGCACGCATCTCCTCTCTTTACCTGGCCAACGCCCACTCACAGCTCAGCTCAGGCACTGCCTTCCACTGGTTGAATTCACCGGCCCTCTTCAGGGCTCTGAGACTCACACGCCCAGCTCCATCTCAGCCCCGGTCTGCTCTCCCCCTTGCAGTACCTAGCGTTCTCCGCATCCCAGCACTGTGCTTAGTAAGGAGAGGTGCTCAAGAGGTGTGTTTGCTGGACAGAGACGGTGAGACTCTGTTGGCAGGACTCTGAAGATCGTTAGTCCAGCCAGTGCGGTTTTACCAGGATCCCTTCTACAATAGCAGCCATCTGCCTAGGCGCGGCTGTCTTCACGATCCAAAATTACTACTTTGGGAGGCAGTTAATTACTTTCAGGGACATGTGTAACCAGCAAAAAGCTATTCCTATGCTGAGCCAAAATCTGCCCCGCTGGCCCTTATCCTACCCTCCAGAGCCATGCAGGGTAAATCTAACTCTCTTCTACATGACAGCACGCTGTATCTGTGAAGACGGTCGTTCAGTACCCTCTCTTCCAGAATAAACATCCCCAGTTCCTCCAGCTCTTCCTATGTAAACATGGTTTCAACTTTTCTCTCTATCCTAACCACTTGCCTTTGACTGAGTGCCAATTTGAAACACTTAAATTTATATAACTAACTAGAGAACCCCAGACTGACCCCGAGATACCAGGCTCGGGATGGAACTGCCGGGCAGGACACAGCTGTCCCTCCCATTTGCTGGGAATTCTCCCAGCCGGCCTGGCCTCCGGTTGCCTCTGTTCACTGGGCAACTGCACCGCACACTCCTGACTCACGATGATCGAACAGACGACCAACCCCAGGCCTTTCCACACTCACCGCACACTTCCCTCGAGTTTCCTGCAGTCAGCTCTCTAGACCCAAGTGCAGACTCCACTGTATACTCAGTCGAGAACTGCCTACTGTTTGCCAAAATTAGGATTTCTTTACTCTATTGACCCCATTACAGATGCCACTGGGCAAATTAAGAAACAAATTAATTATTTTAGATTGATCTTGAAAATCCTTTCAAGAGATATCAAAGACTGTGAAAACGACTTCCTACCCCAAACCATTAGAAAATTAAAAAAACACTAGTTACTATAAAGATATCGCTATACAACTATCAAAATCTAAACTAGACAAATATCTAAAATTGAATTTGTATTTCAATAACATTGGAAAGAGATAAATTAAGACATAATAGTAACCCGGATGTCACTGGAGAGAACATTTTTTTTTCAAAATAAAAATAATAATTATTGATTTTTAGAGGGAGAGGAAGAAAGAGGGAGAGAGAGAAACATCAGTGTGAGAGAGAAACATCAATCGGCTGCCTCCTGCGCACCCCCCACTAGGGATTGAGCCCACACCCTGGCTGGGTGTCCTGACTGCGAATGGATCCGGCAGCCTCTAGGTGCACAGGATGACACCCAGCCAACTGAGCCACACTGGCCAGGGCAGGAGAGAACATGTTTCCAAGTTGATTTTGGAGCCATTAATGAAGCCCACTGGAGTATAAGAAGGAAAGATCCTTTGCATATATTTTGGCCTTTGTGTGCTCTGTGATCATTTCAGCATTAAAACAGTTGCTATTATTTTATAGACTACTCACTGAAGCAAACTACTGTTTTCAAAAGCAGGTTACAGTAGCCTATTAGATAATTTCAGGAGATGTGGCACATAGTTAGCAGAGAGGTACTACAGGGTTTCCCCTCCTACTGCCAGCTCGCAGGCCAAGTGAAAAACCATGTCATGTTTAGGTATTGGGCATGGACATTTCTTTGATATAATGAGGCATGATGCCAATACTTGAGAAAGATTGCCACTAAAACACAGGATTATTATTATTGGGGGGGGGGGCCTGAATTGCTACATAAACTCAAATATGATAATGAAAAGGAATGTTTAGGAGACAAAGAAAGAGCCTTTGAAATGAGAGTTTCATTAAACAAAAATGCAATGTGACAATTCACTGATCAAACATGTAGCATAATTACCTGATGACATGCGAAACAAAACTATGTGGAAATCGAGAATCTCTAGGGTGAGAGGTACCTTAGAGGCAAGCTGTTCTAACCACCTCACACCTCTGACAGGCAGAATCTAGCTGGAATACAAGCAGAAAGCACAGGGCTGCTTCAAATGACATGCTGATCCTCTCTTTGTAAGCTAACGTTTTGCATCGGACCTGGACTCCCATCTGACCTCAATGCTTTAGGGAGAGAGGAACACAAAGTAGGTCACCTGAATGATCATGAAACTCGATCTGAGGGAGCCACATTCAGTTTTAAAACAAAATAAAAAAATAAATAAATAAATTAAAAAGCCCGGCCGGGCGTGGCTCAGCGGTTAAGTATCAACCTAGGATCCAGGCGATCAGGGTTCGATTCCCAGTCAGGGCACATGCCCGGGTTGCGGGCTTGATCCCCAGTAGGGGGCGTGCAGGAGGGAGCCGATCAATGACTCTCTCATCACTGATGTTTCTCTCTCTCTCTCTCTCTCTCCCCCTTCCTCTCTGAAATCAATAACGATTAAAAATAACAATAAAATTTAAAAATAAATGAAACTATAAGTTGTTGAAGGAGAATCTGTAATTGTATGAAACATTATGAAAATAAACGGGGTATCAAGCAATCCCCAGAGACTCATATCTGACAATATGTTTGATTTAAGCTTTAATTCTGTGGGGAGATAGTAGAATCTATCCTTGCGTTTATTAGACTACAAGACAAGCACATGGACGAGTTTAGAGCATATATAACGGGAGTAGACTATGCCATACCTGCAAGTAAAGTTGACAAGAGAGTGAAAGCCAGAATTCACAGGGAGGAAATGAAAACCAATCTGCTCTAAAAGAGGGTGGATAGCGGGGTAAACAGAAGACACTATGTTGGGTGAAGAAAAAAGCACTATTCACCCTGGCTTGATGGAAAGAAGTGTGTGCCCAGAACCAAACGGGGAAGCTGGGAGCCACAGAAGATGAGTTTCAGGAAGGAGATAAGGTGGAGCCAAGGGCTTGGAAGTCCTGACTGCCTGGCACTGGAGTCCAAGTTGAACCAGGGTCAGAGAGGCACAGAAAGTGTGACCTGAGGGCAGTGGGTGGAGCCTAGCAGAGACCTGCAGGGCAGGCAAGGAAGAGACCTGGGCAGAAAGGCCAGTTCAAATGCCACCCAAGAAAGCCAGGCACAATCACAAGGACACAAGCCAAGGGGATCTCGCAGAAACATTTCCAGATGAACAATGTGAATGTGACGAAGCCACGCCACAAGGCGCAGGTCTGCGTGCTGTGACAGACAGAGAGCCCTGGTTTTAGAGGGGCGAGTCACCAGCATCCGTGGTGCATGTCCAAATACAAGGTCCCAGAAATGTCAAAATCAGCTCTTCCTAATTGTAGACTTAAACTAGGTTGCATAAAGGTATTTTAAGGAAACTGAACTAATGTAAGTCCATGCAGCCAGGAATCAAACTGGGACACAGTCTGAGGCTGAGGAGGGTCACTGCTGTCCTCACTGTGGTCATGTGGGTTTTACTCATTTAGGTATTTATATGTAAATCACACCTTATTTCAAAAAGGATCTGAGCTCCATACAGGAGAGTGAAGCCTCAATTAATCAATTCTCTGTTCATGTGTTCAGTCTCTCTACTCTTCGATGCATAAATAATATTGAGTGTGTCCATATTTGATACACATGAGCCAAGTTTTAAAAAAATTACACATCGACACTCGTCCACTGTATTCTACTTGGCTCCAATTCTGATGTATTTCAACTATTTCAATTTATAATAGCCAGCAAGTCACCAGGAAGGCTCCGAAATGTGTTAGATAAACCTTGGGAAGCAAAAGAGTTGCATCTAACCAGCAACAA